AGCCATAAACACTAGAAAGGGTGAGGCCCAAAAAGTCACCGGTCATTTACGCTTAAGGGGCTGTTTGTTTGATTGATTTGGACAAGTTTAGAAGTTTAAGGTTTAAGTACAACAGTTTGATAGATAATTTAATTTTAAACAAACCCATGGGGGAGGGAGGGAGGGAGGGAGAGGGGTTGGGTTTGAAATCAACCAACTTTGGATATAATGGTAAAATGTGTTTTTGATCCTTAATTTACCCAATTACAAAGAATTTAATAGCATAATTTATGACAAATATTTAGTTACAAGTGTGATCAATTTACCATTAGAAGGCTTTCTTTTAACTTGACTAATCATTAATTTTAGTTTGTCTTCTATGTATATTTTGTGCCACTTTTTGAAAAAATAATATTTCGTGTCTTTGTTCTGATGTGATTTGCTTACATGCAGTACGGAATATTGTTGTTTTAAAGTTGAAACTAATCTAAAATTGTTTCAATCACGTATTTTTTGATTGATGACGATTACACAAATTTAAGATGCATGCAATCACCTATAAATCACAAGAATAGAGTTAATTTGACTGTTTCTTATAGACTTCATTTAATACAATTACCGACTACGAATGCAATGATTATAATAAATTAAGTCTTCCCAATATATTTAAATTAAGTCATTAATAATATTTCTAAACTTTGTCACTTGAACTACGTTGACGGGTTAACAAGTCTATGCTCTAATTACGTCTCCAACTTTGATAGACAAGGGGTAGACGGAAAGCAGATTCTCTAATCAAAAAAACAAAGGCGAGAAAGGGTCAGAAATTTCAAAGATGCATCCCTTTAGGCTTGTTTCGATCAGCTTCAGAATCGGGCTATCTGCTTGTCGTGTGCAGAGTTTCTAGCTTGAATGATGGAAAAGCACCCAATTTATGCCAAAGTTCTTGGCATATTAACCCAAAAGAGGAGTACGCAATATGAATGTGATCATGTGAGGCTTTTACATTGATGTATATGATTGATTCTAGTTCATTAATTTGTATCGAGTTCGTGTCGTGTCATACCATATGATCTTTCCTTGTGTTATTTAATTGGTTCCCATCCGTTTTGTTAGGACGCGAACGTTGTGCAGTCAAAGTGTAAAAGTTGGAGGCACCGGTGTGGATCTATAGTGGGGGCAATTGCCCCCACCACACTGGAATTTTAAAAATTTTTGAGAAATAAGTATAATTTTACAAATTTTAAAATTTATTAAAAATTTATAAGTAGTTATGTTTTTTTGACAAATATATAAGTCTTTCTTGTAAATATTAACAAAATGATTTAAAAGGCTAAATGCCTCTACTGCTAAAATGAAATTGAGGCTTCTAGTCCTCTACTATAATTTATTTTTTTAGAGTATAATATTGTAAAAGATTCTGCTTATTTTTTTAGAGTATAATTTATGTTGCTATATAAGATTTATTTGATGCTCGACAATTTGGATCTTCTCTTTTTTAAACTTGATATATGATTGAACCCAATTTTTTTAGATTCGAAATTTTTTGCTAAATCTTATAAATAAATTTATAGTTAATTTTTTTTTATTGACTCCTTTTGGATATCGCTCATGTATATATGAGTTATCCCTTCAATTGATGTTTTATTAATGAAATTATATTTTGTGAACATTTAAAATTTTAATATTATATGGTTGGATGGAGTTGTTCCCACTCCACAAATCTTTATTTCCACCCTATTTAATTTATCATTATCAAACTATTAAGTTCATCCCTTCTATACGCACTTCATTAGTAATTAAGTCTACCTCTTGCTACATTTACCTCATTAATAGTTAAGTCCACTCATTTTATGTACACCTCTTTAATGAAAGAAGTCATCGTTAGAAAAAAAATAATAAAAGAAGATAATTAGTTTGAATGCATAAATATATTTAAAAAATAAGAAGAAAAAAAACTAACCAAAAACGAAATAAGTAAAAAAAAAAACAAGCATACTGAAACAAGAAAATGGAAAGATCTAAACAATAAAAAAATAGAAAGAAAGAAGCACACTGAAATAAGAAAGAAAAATAAATAAATAAATATTAAAAGAACAAACAAAACTACAAAATGCAAAACCGATTATGAAAAAAAAAATATCAAGCATAAACACAAAATCGAACAAGAAAAAAAAAACAATCATAGATACAAAACATTAACAAAATAAAAAAAACAAATAATCCGAAAGTGTGTATCTATATATATATAATTATTAAACTCGACAGAGATATCAAAATATACCGAAAATAATAAAAATACATATAACAAATATGAAATCAAACATAAAATTAAATTAAGAAGTAATATTAATCTGTATTTCACTGAAAAAATTCATATTAAAGAAAAGTTTTTGTGAGTGCATGAGATGAAATAGAGAAAGAAATTTTAATTATGACAAAATATAAACTGAGTTTATTTATTAAAAATAGTGTATATAACATGTTATGAATTTAGTTATTATTATAATGGGTATAAAAAAGGTAAATTTAATAGTTTAATAATAATAAATTATATTGAATGAGAATGAAGATTTGTAGGTAAAAATATCGCCACCTAGATGGCTTAGGCTGCCCACTGTCTGGCTCGGCCCCCGGTTGGAGGAGGTACCATTGGTCCATTACAGCTAGATTGTTGTTTGAAAACTTTAAAGCGTTTCTGTGACTTAAATGGATCTTGTGAACTGCATAATTTTTTGTATGGCATGAAGCTTTTTGACCTCAGGTAGAGCTTCAGGTTGTGTGTATTGGAGTTCGGACTGTTGATCAAGCAAAGTTCCTTGGCCTCGACTTGATTCGTGCTTTAAAAAAATTAAGTTTAAACAATTTTTTAAACTCATTTAAAAAAAAAAGCTTAAAAAGCTCGACTCGGTTTATTTATATATAAAATAACCGAGGTACTTAGGTTCAAGTTCGGCTCATTTTCTAAATAAGTTAAAATTGAATAATTTTTTAAACTCATTTAAAATAATAAGTTTATCAGACTCAAGTTCAAACTCATAATATTTAGCTCAATTAACAATCATACTTGGAGCTTCTAGAGTATGCTTTTAATCGAGCATCATAATCTCTAGTGGGATAATAGGTTAAGCATATAAAAGATAATTGTATCCCTTAATATAGGTATGATCAAGGATAAAATAGTTATTTATAGGACAAAAATTGTTAATAATTATGATATTTCTGTAAGTATTACATTTGTATGTGTTTGTTGTGATCGTAAAGTAATTATGGTGAATAATAAAAAATCAATCAATTAAGAAAGCAAGAGAAAATAACACAGAGATTTTCGTGATTTGACAATGTGCCTACATCCACAGGAGCGAGCGGCTGTTCTTTTCAATCATTTAAAGTAGGGTTATATCTTAAGTATTTATATAACTCTAGTACGGACGTATTTACAAAATACCCTTGTACCGTATCGCGGGGCGTTGCCCCCGCACCCCCAACTAATCAACGTCCCCCCATACATAAAATATATCAATCCCGCAAAATAGATGCCGTCGCACGTCTCCGCTCACTCCGGCATCTGCCTCCTTGCTATTGTACATACAGCAAATATGAGTCACACATACTCTAACAGTGTTACATACCAAATATGGTTATGAATCGAATTCAACGTTGAATCCCATCTTTGCAAAGAGGAATTTTGGTTTGAAAGGATTAGAAAAAGCTAATTCAAACCCTCTCTAAAAATCCATCGAAACAATCCCTAATAGTGTTGGCTTTGAAAATTGGTTGAGCATTGAGCTAAAATTTTGATTCACATTTGATGGGGGTTGTTTTTATAATCTTGATCCTTACCTAGAAAATGGGCTTCGTGATTTGTAGAATGCATTGAAAGCCCAAAGGATGGCTACTTTTATTATTCAGCATGCCTAAATTTCCTAAACTTTATTTTGAACTGAGGGCAAGTCTCTCTGACATTCAGCAATTCAGAATAATCAGGCATCATAACGCTAGACTTGAATAACACGTGGTACAAATTTGACACGATATGAACACAACTATAAATGGATCGATTATGAATTGAACAAATTTTTGACACGGTGCAACTTAAATACAATATGAATCTGACAGTACGTGACACATTGCCAACCCATAGTGCAGTGTTTAAGCCCAAAATTTTGAAAACGGTAGCTGAATGATCTTATTTGAGGGCATCCTCATGTTTGGTTGAAATGTGTCCTTTGAGCCTGTTGAGTTCTGTCAATGGGTGAAACAAAATACCCATGATGAAATACAAGTCATGCTCTAAAAGAAATGTAGCCTGGACATTGCAGATGATTGCACAGGGCAGATGTATCTACCAATTCAAGTATGCACATTAATGGCTGTATATATGTACTAGAGTTTTCTGTAAAGCAGACGCCAGAAGATTCTCACAAAAATATAAGACAGTGCAATGAAGCATCTCAGATTGGAGGGGGGGCACTCTCTGCTTTTTTGTATATTGAAAATGGGGTCCTCCATGCTCAAAAGATATCTTCTGCCCTAATTAATTGCCATTTTGTGACCAGGAATGGATTCAAACAAGTGACCCAATTGGAGGGTTATGCCTAATGCTTGGGACTTGGGACCACTTCCATGTGCCACTTGCAGTGACTTTTTCCAATGGCAAATAGCTCAAACATGGCAGAAAACAATGCTGTAAAAGTACTCGCAAATTTTTGTTAGATCAGATAACTTGGAAGTAGCTGTTCTACGTCTAAATTCAACTCAGCAAAGCCTTTTTTTCACCAACTATTTGAGATCGGCTACGTGATATATGTTTTTCCATTGTTCAACTCAACTAAGCTGTTTTCCCAACTATTTGGGGTTGACTACATGAATTCTGTTTCTCCATTATGCTCCATCATCAATAGTATTCCGTTAAATTATAAGCATGAAGTTACAGTTTTCTTAACCATGAATATGCAACATTACACATTACCAAAAATCAGAGGGTTTAAAAAGACTCCAGAAAGATCTGTAAAAGTAAATGGATGAATAATTTAGAACCTTATGGAACCATTGTTTCTCTCTTTCTGGGAGCTGCTGTGTCTGACCATAAATCTAATCTCTGCTGCTTGTGCAGCAACAAGTACAAACAAAAGTGGAGGAGGAAAAACAAATACAATATCTCTTTATGATATCACATATCAAAATTTTCACAGTTACAAAGTTCTGAATCCACAAAGACACCATAACAGTAAATTTACTGCATCTAGCTAGTTGTACTAATGAAATATTGTTGAAACTAGAATAGAAACAGGATTTTTTTTCTTGATTCTCTTTCTTGATACCATAATTTGGACTGCACTTGGCCCAACTTATGATGCTTCATTGAGAAAGTTTACCTATGGCAGACACACCTATAATGGTATGCACTATTGATTGGATCGTTTCCCTCAACCGGAACTTGCTCAGCCCTGCACTTGTACTTGCACCCTCTGCATTCATTATAAGTGCAAGTCGGTGCCACCGATCCAATCATCAATCTTCTTAGATTCTGGTCCATCCATCCTTTGCTACCAACCTATATGCTCCAAATTATTTATAGACAGAAATACAATTTTTTTTTTTTTTTTGTGAATAAGATTCAGCAATGCTTGTGTTTTTCTTACCTGTAAGAACAATTTTCTTCCTGACGTACTATGATAAACTCTTTGAGGATAAGGAAGCACCACTTGAGTTCTAGATCCTGAAACACCTGAACTTACAAAGAAAATGGCAAAAAATTAGTTACCAATATAAAAAAGAACAGTAGATAAGCTTAATATAGCATAGTTTCCCAACAAAACTGTGGCATGGAAACAATATAAGAGCTGCATTTGGTAGCCAAAAAAGGGGGAGGAAAGAAGGGAAATCTAAATCTTACCAACACAATTTTACGCCTTTTTTTTTTTCAAGTTCTGTTTCTCAACCTCTATTGCTTAGAAACAATATTGATAAGGGTTACAACAGCTAAGTTTTAGTCCAGTTTCAAACAATTACTGTCGGGCAAGCTAGTACAACGAATCGACATGCATTGTGAAAACAGGCACATATTGCACTGAGAAAAAACTGTTTTGATAAAAATTCAGAAAAAACGGAAATTAAACAAGAAGAATAGGACAGAAATGTGAAAACACACTAGGATATATTGTAAATAAAGAGCTATGAATGAGTATGACCATGTATAACATGTGCTGCACATATCAGAATGAAGAGTAGCAAAAGAAAGTTGGGTTGTTTAGTGCTGGCCATTGTTGCCTTGGTATTGGGATAAGTTTGAGGAAGAGAGTGATTTGATAGTGAATATATTGAAAGGATATGAATGAGAGAGACAGGAGTGGAAGGGAAGGGGCTGGGTTGTGGTCAAATTATGATCGGCCACAAGAGATAGACTGCCAATATATTGCAGCAGGTCTGAGAAAGAGCACAAAAAGGAGGTCCCCAACTGACAAACTTCGTATTCAAGCCAACTTGTGGGATTTCAGCTTTGTTTTCTTAGAATTACAAAAACGCCCACAATCTTTCCTATGTTTTTCACATCACTATTCTGTTGTTTTGATATCTTTGAAGGGTTAAATTAAATTGGGTTGTCTTGTCTGATTGGAAAAATCATATGTATGCTCTCAAATGAGTAGAGATATCTCACCCATCAACAAAGAGCATCAAGTGCCTTCAGGCTTTGAAAAATGCCAAGAGTTTTTGGCCAAACTGCTGGAGGAATGTGGAGACGAGGTAGAAAGAAACTCGGAGACTCTCCTCAAATAATATGGTTAATTAATAGTGACGAAGACCAGGCTTAGGCCAGTTCGTGGTTTGAGTCTAAATCATCAAAAAGAAAGTTAAACTCAGCAAATAGTTTCACCCTAATTCAAAGCTCAAATGTCCAAGAAAATCAACGTACGTAGGAAATAAACATTGGGATAGCCATTACTCAAAGATATCACTTATTCTCAATTGTAGCTATTCTCTCCGATAAACTAGTAGCGTGACCTTCACGTCACCGCAGTTAGGACTTTGTGCCTATAAATTATAAGGCCTCTACACATGAGGGAGACACAACTATTTCAAACACATGAGATGTCACACACCTTACCTTGAGCATACTCTTGATCTCTCTCTCCGATTACTACTCTTTTATTAATAGAGTTTTTTGGTCACTATTGCCGCCTTTAGTAGTTAGGTCACCGAGACCCAATCATTCAATTTTTGTCTTTTATTATTAACTACTTCATTCATTGTTTAACATCACACTTGACTGATTTGATTGTGCGTAAATTGACTTTGTGCATCATCAAATATTTCTTGTTGGCATGGCGGTAATGTTATGTTGACCAAATTTTGAGTCCAAATGACATAAAAACATATTATTTTGAGTCTTTATTGGAACTCAAATGACATGATACCAAATAAAAAAGCTTAAGTCAAGTGTCATATCATTTGGACTCTAAACTTGATCCCAAAATTTGGTCAGTGTAACATTACTATTAACCTGGTTTACATGTAATCACAAACACGATCATGTTTAAAATTAACTAAGAAAACGATGATTAATCATTGAACTTGAAAGATTAGTCAGTATAAACATCGACACAATATACCCAAAAAAAAAAAAATGTCCTACTTTTTAACCAGGACCATTGCAAGACACCTCCAAAAAAAAGCTAGAAGGACCATTTTGAAGCATGATAAATGAAAAAGAAAAAAGTACAGGAGGACCATTGCGATTTAAGGACCACCATTTTTTTGTTTCCCTCCAAGTACATCCACCATTTCATCTGGAAAGACATTCCAATATAGCATATAGTAACGAACAAGGTAGAAAATGAGAACCTAATTGTATTGCTTTTTCGGTTTTTGGTCGCCTCCTAACCAGAACCAGGTAGTCAAAACCATGACTACATTTATGATTAACAGCAGGGCGGAGCCACATTGATGCCCGAAGCATGGCCCCTCAGCTTTCTTAAATTGCATTTTAATCCACAATTATTTTATGTTCATTCACTTTGGCCCCTAAACTTCGTATTTCTGGCTCTGCCTCTGCCATTAGTTATGAATCCACAAATTCGTTGGACATTGTTCTATTGGGATGGCCCAAAATAGTTATTGATATTGAGTGACAAAGTCTTTATGTTCTATATTGATCTACGGTGTATCAGTTCGATATTTAGATATTTATCATTGTGACTATTCAGGCATAATTTATTGAATTAACTATTTTTTGTTATTGAATTACCAATAAATCATAAATTTCTATTAGAGTTTTTTGTCAATCCAACAAAAAAAAAAAAAGGTAACCCTTGTCTATGTCACGATCTAGTAAAAATGAATGATAGACAATCTTAGTTTACCCTTTGAATCTATGGCCAGTAACACTATTACCTCTGTACTGATCCCCAAAAACATAAAAAACAACTATCAACTCTGCAAAAAGCAACAGAAAAGGAATACATTTCCCATGTTCGTATTATGATATTTTAGTTTCGTATCAATCGCATGTTAATTCTAATCCGATTTATTTAATTAATTATATTTTATCGATTTATTTATTTTTGTGCCATATTCGTGTGGATTCATATAACACGTGAATAAAAATTTTAATGTTCAATTTTATGTCTAAAATTTCATTTTCACTTAATCAAACTTATACTAATACTTTTTTTATACACTAAAAATTAACTAAATAAATATAATAGTAAAAATGAGTGCAAATATCTTATTTTTTAAAAAAAAAATTAATCTAACCTATTTATTATTCGTGTTTCGTGTCAAGAAATTACCAATTTTAACTCATTAATTTAGTGTCAATTTTAAGTCATATTTTTGTGTTGTATTAGAAATTGCCACATTTATTTAGTCGCACATTACTAATTTTACTTTTATATTTGACCGGCTAGGACTCTTTAAAAATTTTCAGGAATTTGAGTTTTATTATAGATAAAGTTTATTATAATTCTTATCTAACTAAAAAGCTCAATTTTGTTTCTATATTTTATTTACCAGTTTTCATTTCTTTTATTTAGCAATTTTTTTATACTTACCGAAAAAAAGATACATTAACTAGTATTCTTAAATAGAAAAAAAAAAAAGAAGTCTTGTTAATGCTTATTTCTTCATTATTTCTTTTTTCCAAAATATATATATATATATTATTTTTTTTTCATTATTATTGTTCTTTTAGGTTCAATGCTTCTCAGTTCTGAAGGGTTCTTCTTTTCAAGTAACGATCCTAATTTGGAAAACCGTTGGTGTGTGAGAACTCCCGCGAAGCCCAACCTTTCAAGAATACCAAACCCTGGCCACCATTTGTTTCTCTCTCTCCAAAACTTTCCTTCTCTTCTCCAAGCTTGCCGATGGCAAGAATCAGAAACAATCCCTTTCCTTCACCCCCAAACTTCCCAAACACCTCTTCTTTCATCTTCCACCTCTCAATCCTCCACATTACTTCCCAAGTAAATCATCTTTCCTTTGCTATACGGCTATACCCCCCATAAAAACCCCAACCCGAAACATAAACACACACTAAAAACCCACATAAACCCTTTCTACATTTTGTCTTTGCATTCAATTACTTCAACACTAGATCTTCAGCAAAAGCTCTTCTTCAACTTCAATTTGGTTTCTGCTTTCTGTGTCTCTTTGTTCACCCAAAAATGGCCTCAGAACAAGCCGTGGACAAAGTGCCAGTACCCCTTTTCAAGTATTCCAAGAGGGTGATCTTGAAAACCTTATTGGGTCGTGCCGATGGTGGGGTGGGATTGGTCGGAGAGAGAGTGGTGGTTGGAGGATGGGTTAAGTCTTCCAGGGAGATGAGAAAGGAGCCCTCACCGTCACCGCCCACAAATGTTGCTAATCCTGAGGGAAGCCCAAATGATGTGAGCTGTGTGGAAGTTTTTCAATCTCGCGTACCATTTTTCAGGGCAATTATAAAGGTCTTGTTGGGAAGCGATGGTCGTCTTCGCGAAAAGTCGGATCCGATTACTCCGAAGCTCCCTCCCCTTTCAGTATCAATTCTGCAAATTAGTGATGGTTCTTGTGTTTTCAATCTTCAGGTACATTCCTTAAATTTTGTTTCTAAATATCATAATCTCTGTTTCAGAATACTAGATTTGCAAGATTATTTGAAGTTCATCTCAATCTAACACCATGAGAACTACCTGTTTGTGTTTATGTATTTTGTTGGTTTTACGCTCTCTCAGGTTCTGGTGGATTCATCTATGGCTCCTCCCAGCCAGCTGATGCCCTCTGGAACTTGTATATTACTAGAAGGAATATTGCAGGAGCCAAAAATAAAAGGAAAACATGTTATTGAGCTCAAAGCAGAGCAAATTCTACATGTTGGCATTGTTGATCAAGATAAGTATCTCTTATCAAGGAAACGTTTGCCACTGGATTTGTTAAGGGATTGTTCCCATTTTGGACCGCGAACGACAACGGTATTCTTGTCACCTCATTCCATTTCACTGTCTTTTTCTTTTTCTTTTTTGGCTGATTGTCTGCTTGAATTTCCAGATTTTAATGAACTTAAAAACCTTGGAGGCATGGTTTATGCCATCAAATTAGGATATAGTCCCTTTTCCTCAATTGATATTATTGTGTGATTTAACTACATGGGACTAAGAGATTGTGCATTCCTGAATAAAGGATCAGATTCTAAGTTTGGATCGCTCAAGCGTTTTATTTTTGTATCTCCCATTCATACCGGGGTCAGAATGAAATCATAATATGAAAATATTTCAGACTAGTGTATTGACCATATAGCGGATCCCAAATAGTTGGGATAAGGCTCAGTGGAGTTGAGTTGAGTATTAAACATGGGGGCATCCTGAGCCATCATTCTCTTTTGTCATTTCAGTATGGAAATTTTGACTGCTTCACAGTTTGATTAAGTTGCTCAACATCTTGCAGGTGGCAACTGTCACGCGAATTCGTAATGCCCTGACTCAAGGGGCTCATACCTTCTTCCAAAGCCATGGGTTTCTTTATGTTCAAGTGCCCATAATTACAAGCACAGATTATGAAGGACTTGGTGAGAAGTTCCATGTGACAACTCTGTTGAGCAAAGAAATTGTGGAGTCAAGTACCATGACTGATGCTGGAGATGTTGGCCTTGAAGCTGTGAAGGATTCTATAAGGCAAAAAAACAAGCAAGTTGAAGACCTCCAGAGAACCGAAAGCAATAAAGAAGCTCTGCTTGCTGCAGTTCAGGATCTCAAGAAAACAAATGAGCTAGCATTACAGCTGGAAGCTAGAGAGAAAACGAAGTCTGTAACCTCGGATAAAGCCAAGATTGCTCGCTTCTCTGAAGATTTCTTTTCTCGCCCCACTTATCTGACAGGTTGTGGTAGCCTTCATCTCGAGAGCTATGCATGTGCCCTTGGAAATGTTTACACATTTGGACCTAGATTTCGGGCTGAAAGATCAGAATTCCAAAAGTCTTTAGCAGAGATGTGGATGATAGAGGTTGACATGGCGTTCTCACAATTAGAGGTATATGTCTTTATGTTAGTTCAGTGCTTATGCTCCCGACACTCCTGTAGGTCACATTACTGGATTATTGTTGAAGCTGCCCCTTTCTTTTATTCGTGGCCTTTTCAGGATGCCATAAATTGTGCAGATGACTTTTTGAAGTTCCTCTGCAAATGTATTTTGGAAAATTGCTCTGAAGATCTGTCCTTCATCTCAAAACGAATTGACAAAACCGTTGTGGATTGCCTTCAGTCTGTGATATCAAGTTCATTTGAAAAGATCTCCTATGCAGAAGCAGTGGATATTCTTAAACGGGTAAAAATTGATTCATAGGTAGATATTCTGGGACTGACAAGCATACTTACCTTCAGGTGTTATTGATGGTTTTCAATCAGGTTACGGAGAAGACATTTGAGACCAAAATTGAGTGGGGTGTTCCTCTAGCTGAAGAACATGAAAGGTATAAGCACAACAATAGCAGCTTTTATCTACTGTTTATATTGAGGGATTGGTAAAATTCACCTATTTTTCGGTGCCAGTTATTTGACTGAAGAGATCTACAAAAGGCCTGTGATCATATACAATTATCCAAAAGAGCTTAAGCCATTCTATGTGCGCCTGAATGAAGATGGGAAGACAGTCGCAGCATTTGATGTGTTTGTACCAAAGGCAAGTTTAATTTGTTCCTCTTCAAGGCGAAGGGCCTCTCATACAATTTTTCAATCCCACACCTCTATGGAGTTCTAGCTGCAATCTAGACTGCGGTTTTGCTGGTTATTAAGCTCATGTACTTCTGTTTGCAGGCTGGAGCTTTGATTCGAGGTAGCCAAAATGAGGAGCGCCTGAGTATGTTGAGTACAAGGTAAGGATCATAATTTGATCGAATGAACAACCCACTCTCAATGAATTAATTTCCATCTTTGAATAGAAGAAGAGAGCAAATCTTATAACTTTCACCTATTTTTTTTTGTTCCATTTCCTTTCAGGATTAAGGAATTGGGGTTGGCCAAGGAGCAGTATGAATGGTATCTAGATCTTCGCAGGCATGGCACTGTCAAACACTCTGGCTTTAGTCTTGTGTTTGATATTCTGGTCCTCTATGCTACTGGCCTCAAGGATGTCCGAGATGTTATCCCTTTCCCCAGAAGCATTGGTAAAGCCATTAACTGATTTCACTTCCAGCAAAACCATCACTCCAAGATTGGAGAGAGCTATTTAAAACTCCATGCACAGAAGATAAAAAGATCCATACATAGCATACTGTAATTACATACAAACAGGCCAATCTTCTTTTGTGTACTGCAATAATGATTCCGGTTTGATGCTCTTGTATAAATACAGAAATTCAAAAGTGAAATTTCAAACAGAAATGAAATTGTGCAGTAAGTTTCTGCTTTATTTTGTTGCAAACTAATCTGACACGACACCGACTAAGGCTTAGAAACAACGGATATATAACTGGCCATTGAAGTATCGACTGAGGTGTCTTGCTTATCAAGAGGAAAATAAAAAGGATAGAGCTCATATCGGACATAACAACTGCTGTATAGAACCCGACACCCCCTCCGATTGTCGCAGAAGTTGGGGAAGTTGCCAACGGCTATGGCCAGACACTGAGCACAAGATAGTGGCGATAGGTCCCTTGTGCATTGCACCAAGGCATAAAGTGTTAAAAAAGGTGACAGTGTAGTCTTTCCTTTCCCAAGCCCTTTGTTTGCAGGCACAACGGCTTCTGAACTAATATTATCCATCAGGGCTCCAAGTTGTTTGTTGAAAGTTTCAGGGTCTGTCACATTATTGACATTGTAGTAGTAAATACCAAAACCCGTGTCGACGACCCCGAAGAAATCTTCTGTGGTATACCTTAGGAAGCAATACTCGTACCAAATCCTGGCATCGGCTTCGTTTGGACAACCTTTTCGGATTTCTGTTGCTGCTTCGTTGATGCAGTCTGAGCAGTCTTTGGTGCTCACGTCCCCTCTACATTGTGCCAGGCCATAGACTTGGGATTCAGCTTTACCATAGGAAGTAGCAGTGAATCCATTTTGGGCAGTGCTCTGAACCAGTTTAGCTAACAAGGTATCAATATTTGCTGATATTTGACGAGTGATATTGGTGTTTTCATTGCAATACTGGCCAGATGGGTCTGCAGATTCTGCAGTGAAAATGCAGAGTAACATTAAGAGAAGATGGTATATGAAAGCCATGGTTACAATTACAAGCAGCTCAACCATGGCTCTCTTATAGGAGTGTAGGTGGAAGATGATGTGGGGTTTCCATAGCAGACATTCTTGACTGATTGCAAGGTTGGAACCCAACCACACTGTTGAGTGGAAGAAAATGGCATGGTTTCTGGAAGTGCTTAAATTTCCATGGTCAACTCAGCAATAATCTGCGGAAAATTTATTAAGTGGCCAGTGTATAAGTGATATTCATCATTACCAATATGGTTGTGAAATTTTAAGGTCGGTGTCGAGAACTAGTTAATTCTTAAATTTTTAATTTTATTTTGGGTTCACGTTATCTTTGTGAAAAATTACTCTTATGTTTCACTATTTGTTTCCTTTGCTACAGCTGACTCTAAATTTGTGAATGTTAGTGCAGTGCCGAACCTCGAAATTTACTATGAAAACAGGAAAACTTTCCAAAGCAGGACTTAACTATGGTGTTAAAAGAAAAACTTTCAGCAACGTAATTGTAACTTTTATTATTTTAAGAGCAATGTTGTAGAAAACTTATTTGAAAATTTTATTTAAGGACTCAATGATATACAACTATTTAATAGGTTGTGAGTTCTATCTAACAAAAAACTCACAACTAATCAATGATTGCATTGGTTGTGGGTAGAGATGTCAAACGTGTCGTGTTCGTGTGACCCACATGGTCACATGCCATGTTATTCGTGTTGTATTATTGTTATTCGTGTCGTATCGTGTTAGTGTTAACACTCACAAAGAAAAATCTATTTAGTGTGTTGTGATTATTAAACGTTAGTCTAGATTATTTATTATGCGTATGTAATAATCGTGTCAATTTTATAATCGTTCGTGTCTAATTCGTGTCGGGTTCATATCAACGAGTTAAGATTGACACCCTTAATTGTGGGTTTCATCTAACATTAAAACTCACAACTAATTCAATAATTACATTGAAACCACATTATTAAGTTCTTAAATAAGATTCCCAAATAAAGTTCAAATAATATTTTTTTTATTTTAATTGATATTTTTATAACTTTTGTGGGTCATATTATAATAAAAAAATTTATTATTTTTGTAGTTATTTTTGACTTATTTGTGGTAATTATTTTTATTATTTTTCTTCTATACAAAAAAATTTGTCACATTTGTTAGTAATTTATCACATTTGTGAATATTTTTACTACATTTGTGGTAATTATTTTTACTATTTTTTGTGTACCATTAATATGATAAAAATAAATATAATAAATAAAGGTATGGTAGGGAATTTTTTTTTAAGTCGGATAGTCAACTCCTCCATCAGCAGATTTTGTTGACCAATTAGCCCATTGCCACTTTTTTTGAGCAAAGAAAATGGTAATGTTTCTAGAAGTTTTTACTAATTCTTTGGACTATGTTTGGCTCGGGTAGAAAATAAAGTATGTGATTACGTAATTAGTTTTTATCTAATCCATATAAATGGTATAAGAATATTATTTAAGCTTATTCTTTGTGTAATAAATTTAGATCAAAATTGAGATACAATATAAATCTATAATTTTAATACTCAATTTATATTTAGATTAGGTAATAGTGTATAATATTAAATTGAAAATGATAGAATAAATATTGAGGGAATAAAGTCATTGGGTTTTTAATACTGTACTTGTTAAAAATAATATCACCTGTTATCTAGTATTCATTAATATCTAATATTAAGTATTCTCTCTGTTCCTAAATATCTGTCGTTTTACACATTTTTTTTTGTTTCATAATATCTGTTGTTTAATAAAACCAAAACATAATTAATATTTTTTCTTCCAAATTTACCCTTAACTTTTCAATGCATTATATTTGGTGGAAACTAAGTGTCTTTCATATTCATTCCTTCCCAATACGTATTGAATAAGGGTATCTTAGTTTTGTGCAATTATTTTTTACTCATATTAGAGCTATTTAATAGCTTCCTTAATCCCTGTGCAAAAACCTTAAATTACAGATATTTAAGAACAGAGGGAATATTAAACAATAATAGTGAATCAGATCGATATTAATGAGAAATTAATAATGGGTCGTTATAACTTAATCCAAACTTTGTATTACATTATTATCAAATTAAATTAAGGATGGGAGTATTCTCACTCCATTTAATTTCTCATTATCATATTACTAAGAGCATATTCAACCATGACTCAAATTTTTATTCAAATTTAAATTAACATTTGAGTAAAAAGCTTGATTTGATATAAAGGACTCCAATGGACAAATTTAAATTTAAAGGAGAGACCCAAATTTAAAAGGGAATAAGGATAACCATTAGATCTTTAAAAGATAGTAAAATCTCACCAATAAAGATAAAGATTTGAGTTTTTCTTAATTTGACTAAACAAATAAGTTCCCCTTGATTTGGTATAAGTTCGATTCAAGAGTTGGAACAAATTTTTTAGATTTTTTTATTCAAATTTAAATTTGAGTATAAGCTGGAGATGCCCTAAGCTCACTCTTTTTATACCCACCTCATTAATAACTACACCCACCATATGTTACATACATTTTATTAATAGTTAACTTCACTGATTTTATGTACACTCCTTAATAAAAGAAATCATCAAATGAAAAAAAATAATAAAAAAAGACAATTAATTTAAATGCATAAATATATTTACGAAACAAGGAAAACAAAGAAACAAGCAAAATTGAAACAACAAAAAATGAAACAAGTTAAAAAAAAAAAACAAGTATGCCGAAACAAGAAAAAATAAAAGAACGAAACAAGGAAAAAAAAAGAGAAAGAAGCAAACAGTAATAAGAAGAAATAAAAGAATGAAGCAAGGAATAATCAGAAAGAAAGAAGCAAACTGAAACAAGAATAGGAAAAAAATCAAGCAAAGATTAAAGAGTAGCATAACTACAAGACGTAAAACCGAACATGACCAAAAAAAAAAAAAAGATCATCAAGTATAGACGAAAAATCAAACAAGAAAAAAAAAACAACATAGATGCAAAACCCTAAACAAGATAAAAAGGAAAAAATAATTTGAAAGCATATATATATACACACACACACACATATAAATTATAAATAAAAAATTATTAAACTTGATAGAGATATCAAAATATATCAAAAATAATGAAAATTCATATAAACAAACATGAAATCAAACATAAAATTAAATTGAGAAGTAATACTAACATGTATCTTACTGAAAAAATTCACATTGAAAAAATATTTTTGCGAATACATGAGATAAGATAAAAAATGAAATCATAATTATGACAAAATATAAAGTATATTTACTTATTAAAAGGGATATATGTAGCAAATGATTGGTTTATTTACTAATGAAGTGAGTACAGAATGGATGAGTTTATTAGTTTGATAATGAAAAATTAAATAATGTGGGAATAGATACTTGTGGGGTGGGAATAATCCCACCTTTAAATTAATCCAATCAAATCTCTAAATACCTAAACTAAACACACTATTAGCAATACGACATACTTTTGATACCTTTACTCTTAAAAATAAATGTTTGTATGGATAGTATAGTTTGGCGAGTGATGATCTTCTTGGAAAATGGTTGAAGCAAATGTGTACAAGTCCAGAAGTAGGGATCCAGAGTGGAATTCGTCATGTTGTTTTATGATGGGACATTTTCAAAGTATTTCAAGATGAAGACACGTGTCTTCAGCATCAGTAAAAAATTTTTCCTATAAATATGACATGTATCGTCGGATCACAAGTCCCTGTTCCCCGAGATACTGTTCATAGGGATCAATGACATCCAATACGTTACATACCGACACGTATTCCTCGGGTCGGATAGGGTACATCGGTCCCTACATATACCAATCCCCTCGTACCCGTCCAGGATGACGTTCTATGCTTCTGCAGAGGCTATTGATGTACAGGTCACTAGCCTAGGCTAGGCTAGGTTAGTCATCATGACCTTGTCTTACACAATTGGTGTTAGAAGGCACAAGAAGGCCGATGACACAGCCAATGAAAAATGGACGCGTGGCATATTGTGTCTCATCAGGGACAAAAAGACCGGATACCCTTGCTAGCACACGACTTGGGAAAGCAAACACTTAATTGCACCATTCCCTTGACGAGACAGCATTTAATGCGGTAAGGCTCGGAAGTGAAAGGTAATAAATATTCCTACAGTTGGGCATTTATTACATGCTTGCCGAGAGGAGCTCATTAAACAGTCAGCAGGCCGATGACACAACCTTAGTTGCTCGGGATCCCGAGCAGTTAAAAGAGAAGACATTCCTCATAGGAATCAGTGCGCATGTTGCCCATATCTAATGATCACCTACTGACCACACTGACAGCAATCATGAGTATTTGAGGTATAAATACTCTTCACAAAAGGCAAAAATGGAAGGTGAAACCTTTTCTCAAACATATACTCAGTGTTTTTTTCTTCCTCTCTCTCAAAAACTGAGTTGATCGTCGGAGGGGATACGCCGAAAAACACTCCGGCGCCCTTCTAACTTGTCTTTCTTTGTTCTAGAACTTTCCTTAGCCTTACTGGATCGTTCCGTTGATCCACGAGGGTCTCCCATTATCGTTCCAGGTTATCACCGGACCTCACAGGCTGTTCCAAGCAGTAGGGTTGACCACTCAACTGATTCACTCGAGTTCACCAAGAGAGAGATCTATTTTCGTGTTTATATTGTACAAGATCCAGCACGCACAATTTACATTACCAAGTTACCTGATATTCGCTATTACAAAAATCCTTTTCAATGCCTTCCAAAAACACAAATTGTTCACGCCATGTCGGGCTGGTGTGACCTATTATGTTGATTTATTTGTTTATTATTAACGATGATATTATGTAATAATAATAAAATAATTAATTATTACATTAAATATTTATTTCGTAACAATAATTAATCATTAACATTGAATATTTACTTCATGTTGTGGCCTATTTAGTGGTCAAACAACTATTCACTTACCCAAAAAAAAAAAAATAAGTCTATTCGTGCCTCTCAATCCCACAATGGAGCAGGGTTTACAAATTTTTTTTATGCACAATGAAATTATCATAACAGGCCATACTTTCAGTTTTTCTTTCTTAGATATTTTTGTGCAAATAGAAAAAATTAAAAATTAAAAATAAATAAATTTAGGTGGTTATAGGAGTTATGTACAATTAAGTGCAATTGATAATGTAATTAAAAGGAAAGTTAGGTATAGTTAAAGTTAAAAAATGCAGAATATTATTGATATAATATAAAACTCGTAGATCTTGAGTATGGTCCGAGCCGAGGTTACTAGTTGGGAAAACAAAACAATGAGATAATTGTATCAAATAATTGAGTGAAATATTGAATATCGTTTTAATCATGTAAATCACAAATAAATAATTAAAAATAAAAAATAAGGAAAGCATATGTCTTTGATATAGAGGCAAAGGGCGATGCACAAAAACACTGTTTTAGATCTCGTCTTAAATAAATAAAACGAGAGATAAAAAGAAAATTTTGAGCTTACAAATATGAAAATAGAACGTTTAAAACATAAAAGTAGAAAGTAATCCTATTTAGATTATTGGGATTGAAGAAGGAAGGAAGGAAGGTTTCATCTACGAGCCACTCGTACTGAATTAAAGCCACTGCCAAAGACTTCATTCTAGCCACAGCCACAACCTAACCAAAAAAAAGAGCTTCACTCACACACAGATCACACCATCCGCCCTTCTTCCCCTTTGCTCAAACACTCCTTACTTGCTGAACCCCCCCCTCTTCTTTGCTTGCTGAACCCACCCCAAGACCCAGCAGACCACACCCCGTACCCTTCTTTCCCCTCTGCACAAACCCCCTTTATTCTTTGGTTACTGAATCCACCCCCCAAGACAAAACAGATCACACCCCCCCCCACTCTTCCTTCTCCTCTGCGCAATCCCCCCTTTCTTTGCTTGCTGAACCCATCCCCCAAGACCCAGAACACACATGCACACACAACACAATACACATAGAGCACACATAATACACACACTTTCTTCCATCTTTGCCCAAATCTAATACACACATAATTTAGATTTGTGAACTTTGTTAGATTAGGTTTAATTTGAGATTAATTTTAATTCAATTTGATTGAGTTCAATTTAGATTTGTGAACTTGGTTTGATTATCCTATTTTTGAATTTGCGTTTTGTAAGAATTTTTGATTTGATACATATTGGATATGTAATTGAATTTGTGAATAACTATAACTTTATGTTTGATTCGAATTGAATATGTAATCGAATTGAATTGGAATAATAGAAATTGCAAAAACATTTCAGTTAGTTTGTGGAGCTCATTTCTTACTTCATACTTTTGTGATTAAGGGCATTTGAGTTGGACACAATTACTTGGTTTTGGTACTATTTAACTCAAAATTATTATTTATTATCTTTTCTTCTATACTTCATATTGCCCCCATTGGTTTTGTGGAAGAAGGTGGTTAAGAGCGGGAATTATAATTGAATATGGATTTTTTGAAGTTAGGTTCAATTTTAATTTGTGAACTTAGTTTAATTCGTGTTCAAGAATAATGTTTATTTTTTTTTAATATTGTACAGTATCTTCAATTATGGGATATAAGGCCAATTTAGACTTTTAACTTAGTATGCGTTTAAGTTTAGTGTTTAATTATTCTACATATAAATTTCATGTTCAATTTTTTAAAATTATATTATACCTTCGGACACAAAATATTCCTAAGTAAATTATAAAAGATGTTGAAGAACAAACAAAATAAGAGGGACGGATTGAAGAGACGAGACAAAGGAGAGCATATGTATAAAGATGAGATAGATGTGTTTTGTGTGTCCAAGAGTGAAGAAGACTACTAGCCTTATATAGGCGGTCACCATGAAGCCAAATGTCTGGTGCACGATGGCCTATAAAGGCACCCCCAACAACCGGTGAAAAGAAGACCCTTGCCAGGTTTAAAACCTTACCATGTTTTACACTTCCATTCGACACGAAGCTCACATTCTTCCGTACTAATAGAGTGAATTGTATTTTGTACCTCAAAAAATTTAAAAATTTTTATATTATACTTTTAATGTATTAAAAATATTATAATATTATCATTATAATTAAAATTACAACACAGTTTTTATTTTCTTTGTTATTTTGTTCTCTTATAATTTTCTGTATGACTTACATAAAGGTATGTTACTCAAAATGAAATTCCCCAAAAAGGCATAGACATAGCAAACATGTCTGAAAATCCCAGATCAGACCAACTCCTAAAATAAATTTAGCAATAAAACTTTTTGGGGTATCATTTTGTCCGTCAATTACGCAGTTACTCTCTGCTAACTTCACACCACTGCAAAAGTTAAAACCCCACGTTTTTCCACCATTGTCAACCCACCCACAAATTTCTCTTCAATTACCAACACACCCATCACTCCCAAGCTCATTCTCTCACCACCCAGATCGACAAAAATGGAGGAAGGAGGAGAGGAGTACCTTTTCAAGATAGTGGTAATTGGAGACTCAGCAGTGGGCAAATCGAACCTCCTCTCACGATTTGCTAGAGATGAGTTTGACCAGAACTCAAAGGCTACAATCGGAGTGGAGTTTCAGACCCAAGTGGTTGAAGTCGATGGCAAGGAAGTCAAAGCCCAAGTTTGGGACACTGCTGGCCAAGAACGATTCAGAGCTGTCACTTCCGCTTACTACAGAGGTGCGGTTGGAGCTCTCGTCGTGTATGACATTAGCCGGAAAACTACTTTTGAGAGCATTAAAAGGTGGCTCGATGAGCTCAATAGTAAGTCTTTTTTCTTGAAATGTGAGCTTTTGTGGTATGAATTATAATATTTGTGCTTGTTTTGAATGATTGGGAAATACCTAACCTACTGATTTTTGTGGGTTTTGATGGGTATATTTAGTTTTTGAAGCAACACTGCTATGCCGACCAAATACTGTTTTTGAAGTTATGTTGTGGGTGTGTGTGTTTTGGGTACTTATGGATATCGAATTGGGCAGATTTGTGGGTTTACTGGATTTGGTAAATTCTTAGAGGTAGCTGTTGGGGATATTTTAGGGCAAGTTCTTTTAGAATTAATACAGTATTCATATACCAATTAACCATAAAAATTGATAATCAATAATCGGGATTGCACAATTTTCTCACAAAAATTGTGCTCTCCTCAGGGACGAAATGCCCCCAATTGCATTAAGTTTTATGGAGTTCGATGCCCGAGATACAATAATCTTGCAATGTTTTTGATAAACCAAAGCAAACCCATGAACCACTCGATCTCAAACTTGTCAAATAGTTACGAATGATTGTGTATCAATTTCATCTTCCTGTCAAGCTAGTATGTGTAGATTCTGTTGGCTATGTGTTTCATATTGAATATACTGTGCATGTTTCACATCGAATATACTGTGCATGTGCAACATATCCGATGCATTGCTTAGTATTGATCTATCATCCTCAATGGAGAAGTTCTTCTTTATTACGTGAAGAGTCGATTGCACTCGCATCAAGTGCTCCCTGGTAACAAGAAGGGATGCATAACACATAGAAGTTTGTTCAGCGAATGCTTGTAGCTATCGGGGAACACTTGATGTGTCTTCAATGTGTTGTTATTGTCACTTATACTATAACTCTATAAGTATGCTCTTGCAGTATGTTCATGCCAGCAAACACATTAGTAATGGTATTTTGTAGAAACGTTGAACTAGACAGCTTGACGTACTTGTATATTTGTGATCACTTAAAAACCTTTACAGCAAAGTGATACAGCTCAGTAACCATCTCTATTTGTGATGAGTTTGTAAGGGGCATTTCATTAGGCAAATACTGGCGATAGCTCATTTACTGTCATAGGCAAGAATTTTGAAGGAATGCGCAATGTTAGTAAAAGCCGTCAAGTGTAAGAGGGACAATCAGAGTGGAAGGTTTTCATGTTGTTTCATAACTATTTATTTCGCAAGTATATCAAATTTTCATTTCGTTTTAAATTTGAATTGATTTCTTCCCAGAGGAGTTGTGATTTCATGGAATCACGAGATGCTAATAGTAATAGAGAATCCCTTTTTCCCCCTACCCGAATATTTAATGCTTAATGGTTTATTTTCTTGTCGTGTTCTTTAATCTTTGTAAATCACAGATTCTCATATAGGAATTTGATCTTTGTTGGAATGATCTTGCAGCTCACTGTGATACAACAGTAGCAAGAATGCTGGTAGGGAACAAATGTGATCTGGAGAATATTCGAGATGTGAGTGTGGAAGAGGGTGAAAGCCTTGCAAAAGAAGAAGGATTATTCTTCATAGAGACATCTGCCCTGGATTCTACCAATGTCAAAACAGCATTTGAGATTGTGATTCGCGAGATCTACAGCAATGTTAGCAGGAAAGTGCTGAACTCTGATTCTTACAAGGCTGAATTGTCTGTCAATCGGGTTAGCCTTGCCAACGGGGTCGACTTGTCCAAACAAAATCAGAGCACTTTTTCATGCTGTTCCAGATGATTTAAGTTTCACTCACCATTTTTGCACCAGTGTTAATTTGTTTTGTTCCTTTTGATTCCCAAGGTTACTAAAGCCTGAGTGCCTTCTGTAGGCTGCAAGTTAAATTGGTTGATGAAGTTCGTATTGGGATTGAACTTTGCAATAAGACTATATTCTCAATTTACTATGCAATAGATTGTGGATTCATGTATTATTTCAGGGTATTCGGTTGGTGTCAGAACATGTCAAAGCGATGCAAATATCCTACTCTCTCTTGCAGAGAGATTCTAATGGTTATGTACCATATTCCAGGATTTTGATTTCTTTGGGTTAAAATAACACGGATGCTTTGTCTTATCAATTACCTCACCTCTCACTCATAGCAGAATAGTCTCTTTATAGAGTTTGAATGTCGCAGAAGAAGAGTTATTTTAGGCGTTTGAAATCTTCTTATGATTAGAATGCCATATATCACGCACTACCGGGCATTTTCAGTTTGTAACATCCAAGGGAATGGTTTCATTTTACGTTGGTGTACTGAGATCTTTGGGACTACAATTTAAATGTCCCTCCAAACCCGTCTTGTAAACAATCTTATCAAGCTTGGTATGATGACATTCAACATAGCTGCTGCAACGTAATTAATTCGACTACCAATTGCTGTCCATAGAAATAATGGGCATTAGTGACTAGATTAACGGAGCAGGGCAATGGGTTGTAAAGATCCGGACCTTGATAATCTCAGCAATACACTAGGGACATGAAGGGAGGGCTTTGATTACGTTTTTCCACATAACACCCCCCCCCCCCCCCCCCCCCCCAAAACAAAAAAATAAAATAAAATAACTCCCTTGTGGTTTAGTTAAACAACGCGACCCCCTCATGTAGTCATGTATGGGAAATAAAACTGACATCCTTTTGCTTTTGTTGCCAGTAACAAAATCCCCTAATCGTTAGTAGATTGTTAAGGCCGTGTGAAAAGTTTGCTGATGTAAACAACTTATTTTTTAAAAATACCAATATTATCCTTACCCAAGCTACATTTATCTTGCATTAGTAACCAAACAAATCATATCCACAATATTGATAGCTTAAACATGTTTCCAAACAAATTAGGTCCTTTTGACCACCCAACCATACCACAATAACCCACTTTCCATCTGACCTTCTCTTTCTCTCTCATGGATTCATTGAGACCGCCCTTGATCCATCTCCTTCACATCACTCCAATACCTAGTAGGCACCACCACCATAGCTACAACGACGCATGCATCATCGGAGTACATCACGATACTTTGGGAGGTGTTTTATACTTCACATTGGTTTTATGGCTGAAATGGGTTTTGGGTGTGGAGTTCATGAGTTTTTTGGTTGGTGGGGAAAGAGAGGGAGACGGTGGCAGGTTTGATTCTGTTAGTGGGAGGCAATGGTAAGTGTGTTGGTGGTGGGGGTGTTCCTTCTCAAATAAACACAGTGGAGCTGGGGGGACAAAGGAACAAAGGAATTCACACAAAATAAGGGGAATCCAAAACCCTAAAAAAAAGGAAGCCAAAGGATACAATATCACCTCTCCAATAACAGATATCGTGCAACATAAATTTTATATCAACTTGCAATCCCTTCTCAAAAAAAGAGTGGTAGCTTAACCATCCACTAAAGAGAATAATTGTCAGATTTTCATTTAAATTCCCTACAGATTAAGTGCAATTACGTCTTTTCTGGAATTGGTTCAAATTATTTGCGATGTTTCACATTTACCATACTTCTCCAATGCAGATGGATCCTGAAATAGGTAGAAAACTCGAGTTCCAAAGACATTTAGAAAGGTCTGAAATAAGACCAATGTTTCTAGCCTGTAGCAAGGCTTGTATAAATTGAATCAATGAATGGCAAGTCAACTAATAGGTTAAAAGCAATATAACCCATTAACTTAAATAAACAGATACAATAATTACAGGAGAAACATTACCTTTTACCTGACTCCACATACATGCAAGTAATGGGCTCCACAACATTTGACCAGAACAGGATGGTTCTCATGGTTTCCTCAAGGCAGATGCTGCACCCATAACAATAGCCAAAACAACACCAAGACCAGCCCCAAGGGAAGCACCCACAGCTGCAGCAGTCAAAGAATTTTCCCTGGCTTGAGCATCCCGAATTGCATCTGCAGCGATTGCATGCTCTCGTACCAACTCCAAGAAAAGCCTATCTCTAGCAAGTTCCTTTAAGAAAATTGGGGAAAATGCCAGACAAACTTCAAACATTTGTCCAAAAGCATAAAATATGGCTCATTTGGAGAAAATATAAACAGACAGAAACTGAAATACATATCACAACAGAAAAGTTTGTCAGTAGGTGTCTTCTTTTTGCATTTATTATTTCTCTGGATGCAAAAATTTGATTAAATGTTTCTACCTGTAAAGCAGCTTCCTCGTGGCTTCGAAGAACACGACGGATAAGCTGACAAAGAGAGCTCACACCCTCAACAGGGAGAGTGGCAGCTTTCTTCTGGAAAGGCCTCCGGACAAAGTTTAAAGGAGCAAAAATAAGCTTCTGAGTATCCATCATCTTATCAGAGTCCCTGTCCCCTGCACCCCAAGACACAGGAGCACCTGCAGCACTAGGCATAATATATGGACATGAATTGATAAGTTCTGCTGTGCTTGGAGATGCTCGATATGCCTGCAAAACAGCATCAATTGCTGCCTTTTGCTGGTGTGCACTGACAGAAAATTTGTTTGTTATAGCAAGGACCCAAGGGGTTTCAAGTGATTTAGCCTCATCCAGCAGAAGTGAGAGGGCTGGTTGTTGGTGGGATGCATCGGAGGGGCTGTATCGAGGTATTCTGTGGGAAAGGTTATGCACAAGAACAATCAAATCCGTTTTTTTGCTAAGATCGCGAATTCCCTTCCATAGTTCGTCCCTGAAACGAGAGGCCTCCGCTTTCAGATCCTGCATAAAAAATAGAGACAGCGTACAGCCTTAACATCCAGAGGCAACAACAGGAACCATCATAAAATGAGGACAAGGCAGGAACTCATATGCAAATAACTGGTTTTCCAATCCAAGCAAGAAGGACCAGAACAATAAAAGGGAAAGGTAAATACATGCATACATTTAAGATCTTTACCCAGTGATATAAAGCTTATCATTATATCATGCTTTATTCTGCATATTTTTCCCTACGGCGGTATGTGATACTATCAAAGTTTTGAAGATCAGCCGTTTTAGAGGAAAATTTTAGGAAACGCTTGTGCAATCCCATACATTCCCAAAAGAGGAGAGACAGGTACCGCACATCCGTGAATATACAACTATTGTTGCTTAAAAGGTGCTGAAGATAGTGGGTCTTTATTGGGGATGGCAAGAAGAGAGATCTTTTACATCCCAAAGGGGCTATAATTGGAGATACCATTGTTTCTGACAGAGAAGTTCGTATACAAATGGGAAATGCCCTACTATTGTCACCAGAGGGGTTGAGCTGTTAGGTGGTGAATGTAAAAGAATAGCACAGAATTCTATAACCAGTATACTGATCAGCAATCCGAGAGAAAAATGTAGTTGAAAACTGAAAAGATTCAGATTTTTTAAAAGTTTAAAACCTGTGTTTAAAAGGTCCCAAATATTAAGAACAAAAAGTTATCAGTGGAACTGGTCATGTGTTACATATCTGAGGGCAACTGAGGGACATTTGGTGGAAAACAATTTGAAGGTCCAAAGAAAAAAGACGGTCAAAGTTGACCCATTCATCTCTCCCCTTCTCAATCAAATCTGACCCATCTCCCCAACCCAACCCCCCTGGGTGGCAGAACAGAAGAAGGGAACAAGGGTTGGGGACCCAGCCAACTAAGTAGTAGAAAGAAAAAACAAAAAGCATTATCGAAACTTCAACCCATCAAGCCCTTGAAAAGTTTCACATTCTGAAGGACAATGTCGAGAGAGACAAAAAGAAAAGAAGAAATACAGCAAGAACAAAAGACCTGTATTAGATAAAGAGGACCTGCAAATTTATTCCTGCAGAATCTGAGTAGCACAACCCACCGGCAATTCCTTCCAGAACATCAACATCCATGTACAAATTCTCAATACCAGATGAAGTGGTAAGCTTGCCCTGACCCAAGATTGCCTTCAGAAGAGAAGTTTTACCAGCACCCTACACCACCGTAAGTCATGGTTTTTAATTTATGAAAGAAAAGCAAAGATACACACTCCATATGTCAAAAGCCTAATGTTGAGCAGTAATACCTCAAGGCCAATCAGTTGCACCCTGCGTGTCCTAACATGAACCTCTTTGGATACAGTAGAAAAATCAGTGGTACAAAATACAGCAAAATCACTCAAACCATCAGGGTGGATATGATTTCCCTTGCAAATCATAGAAACATTCTGCTCGCTATTGAGTTCAACAGATTGAAACGCATGGGGTAAAGAATCTGTCACTATCTGATGCTTTGGGGGCCGTCGCAATGGAGCTCCAACTAATACTCGTATCTTCTGTATCTCTGGCTGTAATCCATGATTCGAAGAGTAAGATGGCGGTGAAGGAAAAGATTCCACTGTAGTTGAGCACCTAATCAACAGCAATAATTTCATGAAATATGGTATCAGATGAAAAAGAGGAGTCATTTATAGTCCAAGGCTCATTCTACTAATGTTCTGGTTCTGGAATGATTGGTTGTGCATAAGAACCATTTAAGGCACTACATCAAAAAAGAGCAGTCATTTAACAGTCCAAAGCTCCAATTGATGAAGACTAGCCATTAAAAGCAGCAAAAAACTATGACACCACAATGACAAACAGGAATTTTGTCATGGTGAAAGGGAAAGGAAAAAAAATTTCAGAAGGAAAAATGAAAGGAAATTGGATATTTGTTGCCTGAAAAAAAATAACATGGACACATGGCAATATACTGATGACATTGATAAAAGAAGTATCTACCATTTCTAGAAGAACTTGCACATGCAAGTTGTAGCAACAGAAGAGTGCAAACATATTCCCATGCTAATTGAGCTCAGGATGCCCTCCACAATTTCGAACTACTAGACAATTCAAAAGACACTAGCAAACCAAATTAAATCATAGGATAGAGGGCAATACCAATTCCCATTGACTCGAGCTCGAACCAGTGTACACAGATGTAATCCAAAACCAGAAATATCAACTTTCAAAAGGTCTCCATTCTTATCCCCAGGAATACCACTCCAACCAAGAGGAAGAATTGAAGTAGCTGCACGAATAACTGGAGACTCAACAATATGCCCAAGGTCAACAGAACCTGCAACCGAAATGCCTAACCATTTATGTAGATGTGGGAATTGCTGCAGGTGCTCCATCCCCAAAAATGATGAATCATTATCATTCATGCACAGATCATAAATTCTGTATGGGGTTAAACAAAAAGTTATTCATGAAAAACCATGATGCCCATAATTCCAAAAATAATGATAGAGCTACTAAAAAAGAAGTGCAAAAAGAGAGAACTAAACCAAAAACGTTGCAGTCTATGAGATTTCATGACTAAAAAGTATAAGGGAAACACAGTTTGACAATAACCCAATCATTGATAAGAAGCCAAAATTTTTATCAAATACACAAAATTTAATTATAGTTGCGAAAATGACAATAAAAACTCTAACTGTAACATATAAAATGAAGTAAGATCCCGCAAATTGACAAGGGAATACCATAGATTAACAAAAAGGCTTCAGTAATGAAACAAGGGTTAGCGCACCAACTACATTCAATAATAATTTGCAAAGATAAAAATGCCACCCCCACATTAGTCTCCATTAACCGAGGGTGATAAGAGGGTTGGAATATATACAAACCTACACTTTGGTATTATATGCAAAAATAGTTACCCTCATATTCCAAGCCACAATCTTCCATTGGATAACCCCATCATTTCACCATTCACATGGCAAATATGCCCCCCAACGGGAACAACTACATATGTAGATACAGTGATCATCCAACAGAAGCATTCAAACAACCAGAATGACAAAGAGTACAGTATATTGCACTGTAGAACATAGCATTAAACAAAAAATATATATTTCTACCAACATATCAATCAATGGATGAATCAAGAGTATTCTGAAACAAGTATTCCTTTTTCCAATTTCTTGCAGGTTAAGCTTGTGAAGTATGCATTCATCCAAACAATGGGTCGTGGGTTTTCATAATGCTCAAAGTTAATTCAATGTCTCCAAAAAACTAACAAAACAGGTACACAAACGGATGTAAACGTGAATCTGCACATGAACATTGATGAACAAAAACTTCTAGAGGATGAAAGTATCAGTATTACAAATGTAATCCAAACTATTATGCCTGCATGACATGAGGTACATATCATGACCTACCTATACCATGCTCACCGCCATCATCCACATGCAAATAACTTCCAGCTTCCAGAAAAAAAAAAACTAAAACAAGAGTAGAAGTCTAAAAGAGCGTAAACTATTACCTTTGAAATCGAGACCTGTACGACTTCATTGAATGTGACTGAAATTTTTCCTTTACTTCAGCAATCACAGATCTGACCTGAAAATGGCTTTGCCATAAGAAAGCATACATAATGAGAGGTTCTAGAAACTATCCACTATATCAGAGTTACATGCACAGTGATTCACCAACTCTGATTAGCCAAAAAAATGGGGGTGGAAATCTTAACATAACATGATACCATCAATCCATAATGAATAAGCACACAATTCGTACCGAGGTCAGCTTTGAGTATTCTGCACCAGATAGTGAGTCCACTGATGAGTTCCCCAACAGATAAAGCTATGACAACAATGAGTTGGTCAATATTAGAAAATAAAAAAAAAACTTGACCAGTAGGAAAATTAGCTGCTGATGAACATAAAGCTCGGGAATAACAAAGCCAATTAAAAATTAAGGGGAATAGCCATTAATGAACTTTGTAGATATAGATATTTAAACAGCCAATAATGGCTAGAAAATGATCACTTGAACCTCCAGGGCCTAACTACTTTTCATGCCTAATGCATGCTGCCGTCTACAAATCACTCATGTAAAGGCATTCAAATAAAAAATAAAGACAAGAGGGAGCACCAGTGCAAAATAAGTACCTGCCCAAATGGTACATAAGAAGGTAAGGCTGGCATTCTACGCCATGGCCTCTTGTTCCCATTATTACTATTACTCTTTCCAGATGACTTTCCATTTCTTGTTTCACGAAGGGACTCTTCTTCTGTATCCGAAAATGGTCGCAGAGAAATGCCATCAGAACCTTCTTCAATTTCAAGAGACTGTGGGGCAGCAGCTATATCATCAACAGATGATGTTAGAACAGAATCAGCAGAGGAAGATGTTCCAGTAGGATCAACTTGTTTTCCTCTGTATCTATCTAACTGCCTCCAAACACCCTCTAAAGGAACAAGCCTAGAAAGCCTCCAAAAGGAGCTCTGCACTGGACCTAAACCAAGAACCAACTGCTCTGCTTCATTCTCTTTTCCCTTTTCTGCTTTTTGCTTCTCCAACCCATCCACAGGTTTTGACGTTGATAAAGAAGAAGTTCCAAAATTAAAAGGTGTAGGCAGAGGTTGTGCAATATAATGATGAAAGTATGCAGGAGACAAGATACGGGGGACAAGATCCTCTGGAATGCAGTAAGTCTTAAAATAATGATGCCATCCTTTCCTATTAACATAGCTGAAAGAACATACTTGTCAAAAAAAAGACCACATATTTAATAGTTAACTACTAAAGAGGATAAGGAATTGCCATTGAACCTACTCTCTTAATGCAGCATTTCCAACAGGAGGCTGGGAGAATGTAACACACTTGACCTGAACTTTGTCATACTCTTTGGAGGAAGAAGCAGCAGCAAGAACCCTCAAAATGGCAAGGGTAGCCAAGACTGCAACCTAAATTCAAATACAGGAAGCACCCGAACAAAAATTTGTAGGCATAGGCAATCACTGGCCAAAGTTTTACCAAGATATATATATCAAACTTACAGCTCCACCAAGTGAATGTCCACACAGAACAAGTTTACGTTTCTTTTTCTGAGCAAGCCTGTACAATTCCAATGCAGGTATCCCTTTAGCACGAGCCATGAATCCCTAGAGAAAATTGAAAGGGAAGGTATCTCATTAAAGCAACATATATCCATATTTTAGCTTCATAAGAATGAATCATCAGATGGCAAAGAAAATCCTGAGGATATTGAATGTGAAACAAAATATTGGCTATATTACCCGATGAACAGCAGGTTGTGGTGTAGGTTTTATTTGCTTAGGCTTTCCTTCTAGGGTCTTTGACAAATAATCAACATTGCTATTTGGGCTTTCGAATTGGGCAGATTCAGTAGTTTCAATAACATGAGTTTCTTCTACGGCATCCTCATCAAAGATGGCACCTTGAAATATATTCGCATCAGCCATGACATCCCTTATAACAGGCAATGAAAAATAAATGAAAAAAAACAATCATTTTGGAAAAAAATGAAGGATAAACAGCTGAAAAAAGGTTATGCACCACACTTACTTATATTGCTTGGTTCCAATAAACGAAGCAAATAACGTGTCCCCTGCTTCTGCTAAAAGATACCTACAAAACAGGAAAGTGAAAAAGAAACATTTTGCTGGGCAGCTTGGGACAAGATGAAAGATAATTGGCATACAAGAGTCAATTGGTGTACTTGGATAAGTGGCAGATTTTAGAGGTCATACAACTTTTACCAGTAAGTCTTTTACTTTGGCTTATACTGCGCATGGATTATAGCAGTGGTTAACTGGGTCCTATTTTGGGTTATGTTTATGTCACATTATGGATGGATTACATGAATCTCATTAGTTAAAGTAAAAAGTTAACCCCCTGATTTCTTCTTCAACGAGCACAATCACTTTCCCCTCAAAACCCTCTACCTAGCACCCCAAAAGTGCACAAACCAGTCAAAGTACCATTATGGAACAGTTCTCGGCATCTTGAATAGCCTGCCCTTTTATTTCCTGTATCAAACACTTGACCTTTACCTACAAATTTTACAAACCCTAAAACCCAACATTCCTGCCATGATTTAGCTGCATAGCCCCAATTTAACCCACAAAGATCCTAACTAACGCTATCCTACATCAGGCAAAAAAATTGAAAATAGTATTGTGCAAGAATTCTCAACTTAACTCAGCTTTCCACAATGTCCGTGGATCATATGACCCAAGGCAATAAACAAATTTAACTTAAACTATTATTCATAAGATACTCTGGTGAATATTACTCTATGATACTTAAAGAAAAATACTGTAAGTGTAGATTTTGTAGCAGGCATGACAGTTCCCCTAAAAACACAGTTCATGAATAAACTATACGGCAAGTAAACTTCCCATTAACCTGCATCACATATCCTTGCATTGCAGCTAAACGGTGTAGCATCTACTTAAATACTGCACAATTTGGACAGGCAGACTGACTATATACAGGGGCAACTAAATATACAATGAAATATATTTTTTTAAAAAAACAAAGCTTATGAAAATTGAAAGTTAAAAGATAAACATGACATACAGGAAAAAAATTGTGACGATTCTTTTGGAAGATACTCTGAAGTTAATTCACTCAAATGTATTGAATAATTTAATGAAACACCTGTGAGGAATGTGATCTGACGAAAGCTGCACACGCTCTAAACAAACCAATTGTCCTCCAAAATCAGCTTTGAATGTGTTTACCGCTCGAAGCATATCAGCAGCAGGTCTCTATCAAAGATGAAAGGGTATTGTTATAAGAAAATAATAAGGAACGAAGCATATCAGCAGCAGCTCTCTATCAAGAAAGTAAAGTTTATTGTTGTAAGTAAATAAAAATAAGAATGTGTTCAAAAGCCTGAGAGGAATTCAAGTCCGGTAGCATGTGTATATGACATCTGCAGTTCGTTAGAGATCTTTTCACTTCTTTCCTAGTCTCTTTCCTTCCTCCCCCCCCCCCCCCCCCCCACAAAAAAAAAAAACCTTTAGCACATTCAAATTCCAGAAACACAAATGAATAATGATACTTCATGCAGCCACTTTGTACTTTCACCACAAGTTTTCTCTGAGTTCACATTACATGGTTTAAAAAGCTTCTAAAATTATAATCTCAAAGCATCACAAATATGGTTGCATAGTGTCCAAGTGCAACATGCTTCTTTTCCACCACAACCTGGTTATATTCACAGGGAATAAGATGAAAACTTCATGCAGTAGTTAATCCTCAGTTCAAAGAACCAAATGAAGAAACAAGGGTTATGCCTAAGCTAATTGCTAATGGATATCTAAAATGCTGTAGTATACACATTCCCAAGAATACCATTGCCAATAAGAAATATATTCTCCTCATACAAATAGCATAAAAATTGGACACAGCTAAGCCCACGGGATGTATTACAATGTCTTGAATTCTATTAAGCAGTATATACACATAATGAACCAAAATTCTACTAAATGACTGTCAATACATCAAGTTCTTCATTGATAGTAGTGACAACTCCCAATAGCATTGACATGTAGAAAGCATCATCAGCAAGTATCAATTGCTTATATTCCCTTTGCACTGTCCAATCCAATTTTCGAATACTTGGAGTCTAAATTGTATTTCTTCCTTCTTTCTGTCCATTCTTGTTTTCATAGTTGCCTCTGATTTTCCAAACTACAAATCTATAGTGAAGATTATCAATAACCATCTGCAGAACAAGATATAGAACCTCGGAACTCTTGTCTGAAAAATTACACTTATATAGACTTCCCTACCTTGGCTTTCTTTTAAGGAACTAGAGAAAACCTTTTTCCGGTTCATTGTACGCAATCAATAAATTTCGTAAAAAATCAATCGAGCAAAGCGTGTGGATTCCTCGAATAATTGCCATTGTGTAAACTTCTCCAATAAATTACCACCGTAATTAGCAGCAATACGGTGTGAAAGATCCAATTGTAGTATAAAAAACATGTTTCAACAATATCATTAATGGAAAATCAAGATCAAAAAAGAATGTCAGTCGACAAAGGCGCGAACCTTATAAACGCACTCAGAGAGCACCATGCAACAGAGAATGTCCTGCAAATCAGAGACCGACTCTGCCTTAACAGCATGACAAAGATCCTGAAGTTGCTTCTTCCTGCGCTCATACTCTTCCTGAATCCGTTTCCTCTGTTCTCTGCCGTTGGTCCAAGGCCACCTCACCACCATCCGCCACTGTGGGGGCCAAGTGACCTTCGAGATCTTGGTTCTCTGGTCTCTGACCCATGTCTCTACTCTCTGATGCAGAGACTCCATCGTCCATAACCCTGATGCCAACCAGCGTGATAAATCAGATAAGCTCGATGGCGTTTTCTTTGAATGCGTTTGCGTTTAGAACGCGATTTGTGTGAGAGTAACAAATGGGGGTGTCATTGAGGAAGCATATGCCGCGGTATCACAACCCGTATACGTTGTGTTGTGTAGATAAATAAATTTCTTATTTTTATTTTTCGGAAACTCCCAATAATAACAGATCAAGCCCATAAAATTAGATTCACAAATTAGACGTCGGTACAATGTTTTAGACTTATTTATGTAAAAGTACAGTTCAAAAACTTATTTTGGATAAAATGTATATTTTTTTAAAATATCACTGTTGTTGTCATCGGTAAACAGTAAATATATGAAAACTCATTACCTTCCATCCGTTTTTTTTAACTAAAATTAAGTATGAGGTAAAATAAAGGGTTTAATTATCAAAAATCATCTTCTTCGGTAGAGGGATTGGAATGTCAGAACTGTGACTGTTCATCATCCAAAAAAAAATAGAATACAAGTTATTGTTTATCGTCAAAAAAAAAAAAAAATCTGAGTTACTGTTTATCGTCCAAAAAAAAAAAAGAATACGATTTACTGTTCATCGTGTCCTATGGTCAAGTAACTATGAATCATTTTTGGCAACTTCTTCACCGAAAATTGGAGGTGACATTCATTTTTGTTTTTTTGCCATTCATTCATTTTTTTTTTCACATAATTTGTGTTATTTGATTTTTTGATTAAAAATAGTTACGTAACTGTGTTTAAGTAACTATTTGTGATCGCAAATTACAAATTGTTAAATATTCAAAAATTAATTGTTGAAACTGTATTGACACAATTACACCTATTAAAACACACTTACACTCATTAAAACATACTTACATCCATTAAAAAATAGTTACAACTATTAAAACATAGTTACACCCATTAAAGCAAAATCAATTTTTTTCCCCTTCATTCCAACATTAAGCAAACATAAAATAAAATCAAACATATGAATTTTCCAAAAAAAAATGACCGAATAAAAGAAAAAATATATTTATTATGTCTATACGAAAAAATAGTTACACCCATTAAAACTAAAATCAATTTTTTTTCCCTTCATTCCAACAACGAACAAACATAAAACAAAATCGAACATAGTCATTTAAAAAAAAATGACCTGATAAAAGAATAAATATACTTATTATGTGTATAAAAAAAAATAGTTACACCTATTAAAACCAAATGCAGTTTTTTTTCCCCCCTTATTCCAACAATGAACAAATATAAAATAAAATTGAACATAGAAATTTCCCAACAAAATTGACAAAATAAAAGAAAAAATATAATTATTAACAACTAATCTTTAAGTCGGTGACGATTATTAGTATTTACAGTTATTTTTTTTTTGAATAAATTCACTACCGGAGAAATAAATCGATCGTTGAATAAGACTTTTACTATCGAGATCAGATAAACACAGACATTGAAGAAAACTCTTACTGCAAATATCAAATTTTTTGTTTTAACAAACTGCAGAGACGTTTGAAGATTTTTTGTGTTACTGCATAAATTTTTTGTCTTACTGCAAAGATCAGTTGAACACAGACTTTTACTGAATATAAAACTACTCATTCAAAATTCAAAAATTAAAGATAACAAATATGTAATTTTTACATATTTGTTTCCTCAAATAACTATCAATGATGACTGCATAAATTAAAGAAGGGTGTTTAAATAAAAAAAAAATTAATTCATTTGAATTTTGTACCTAAACACAAAATTTTTTATAAAATTTGTACTTAATAAAATAAATAACTTATTCATACACTTTTACTTAAATAAATCTAAAAAATTGTACTCACACCTAAAAAAACCCTATTTACTAATAGTATTAGAGTTAATCATCCAACCATACTTATTTTTAAATTAAAATTTATTTATCCTAATATTATAAATTAAATGTATTTAACAAATTACTGTTATTTTTTTTTTTAAAAGGTGTGTTTTTTCCTAGATTAAAAAAAATGAAACGGTATCGTTTCTCCTTGTTTCTGATTTTTCAAGTGCATGATTTTTTATGAGCTGGCCCACATATCTCTTTAGACAACCCCAATTGAAAATGCCAGACTTAGAGTTGACCTGGCCCATTTTAATAGCTGGCACATAGCCCATCTTATACCAGCCCATAACAACAAGTCGGATTATCAGATCATATTGGGCCATTGAGGTGGGCCAAATGATAACCCAAGCTATTGGGCCACGTTGTTCATGCACTTAACATTAATTAACAAAAAAATAATAGGATGTGAGTACCTTTTCCAAAATTTATTTGACTTTAAGTGCCACATTCAAACTTATCCTATATTAAGTCATTTTTTTCATCAAATAGTTGTCAATAAGTACACATTTTTAAATTATTTTTAAAATGTATTTCATAATTACCCCTAGCATAAATTATGACAATTTTTATATTTTCAACATCTAAATATTAGAATGCGAGACTTTCAAAATTTCTTTTGATATTTGTGTATCATTATAATTTTAAAATTTCATATATATATACACACACACACGTATACATACACACCTATATATATATACCCTCCCCACACACACGTATATAGTAATATCAAATAGTAATACGTTCAACAAAAAAATAATAACATCAAACAATAGTTTAATTGTTACTCTTTGTTGACGCTACTTGAGTACTATCAAGGGGAGCATTACATGGTGCCATTAATTGGACTCCTATTTGTCACTATCTCGTGTTTTTTTTTAGTGACACTGTTTGCATAACAATTTTTTGAGTATCTTTTTAGGTGTAACTCTTTAAGTGGGCAAATATATATTATCATCATTTAGGGTCAATCTATTATTATCACTATTTACTGACACTATTTGGGCACAATTAATGGGGCATTACATGATGTCATTGATTGGATCTTCATTGTCATTATCTCGTGTCTTTATTTGGTAATACTATTTGCATGTCAATTTTTCGAGTTCCTCCTTAGGTGCAACTCTTTAAGTGGGCAAATATATATTGTCATTATTGATGGTCAATATATTGTTATCACTCTTTATTGACACTATTTCATCATTATCAAGGGAGGTATTACATAGATGTCATTGATTGGACCCATATTATCATTATCTCGTATCTCTTTTTGATGTCAGTATTTGCATGACAGTTTTTGGAGTCTCCCTTTAAATACAACTCTTTAAAGGGCAAATATATATGTATATATATATATATATATATATAATTTCAAAATTCAAAATTATCACATTCTAGTATTGAAAATTTCACGTTCAATTAAATATGTATTATTTATAACAGGGGTAAAAAGATATTTATGACTTTTTTTTTTTGATAGATATACTTTTATCTTAATAATTTTAAAAATTATATTTTTACCTTATTAAATTTTTTGGGAAGTAACGGCCTCCTAAGCCCCTTAACCACATCACATGTATTTTTCATGAACAACAAGGAGGATTTTCGCATTTCATTGTAACCCAAATGGCCTGCGCGCATGCTTTCCCTTGTTCTGTGGAGTTCCCTCCCGTTCCCCCAATCTTCGAATGCCACATCACCCTAGATTGACAGTTTCATGACACGTTTCGATTTATTATTGGCGGCACTACTTCACATCAAAAATCATACCCACACTTTACCCTAGCTCCCACATTATCTAACTTCCATATTACTATTTGCCTATATATATTGCCAAATTTAGCTGTCAAGCCCGGTCTTTAGCAACACAAACGTTAACTTTAGCAGTAAGGTAATTGTATTTATACTCCAAAATATCTCTCTCTCTCTCTCTCTCTCTCTCCCAACACAGACCTCCAAAACCACCTCTTCAATGGCCTCCCAGCGACTCTGTACCCTGATTCTGCTCTTGTTACCGGCGATTTCTCTGATCTCACCGTCACAATCAGCGACCTGTATCTCGCAGAAATTCACAAACAACAAGCTCTACACTCACTGCAACGACCTTCCTTCGCTGAACTCATTCCTCCACTGGACCTATGACTCCGCCAATTCGTCCGTCTCTATCGCGTTCATCGCTCCTCCGGCGAAACCTGACGGCTGGGTTGCATGGGCCTTGAACCCTACCGGCACCGGAATGGCCGGCGCACAAGCTTTGGTAGCGTTCAAAGACGCCCAAGGTGTTATGACTGTTAAGACCTTTAATATAAGCTCGTACGCCACGATTGAAGAGGGAAAATTGTCTTTTGACGTGCCGGAGAAGACTGCGGAGTATTCGGGGGGTTTGATGACGATTTTTGCGACGGTTGTGTTGCCGGAGAAAGGAAAGACGGTTGTGAATCAGGTTTGGCAGGTAGGGGCTTCGGTCTCGAATGGTTTTCCTGCTAAGCATGAGTTTCAGCCGGCGAATTTGAACTCGAAAGGAAGCCTGGATTTGTTGAGAGGACAGACCACTGGTGGTGGTTCGGGTGGGAATGGCAGGCTGAAAAAGAAAAATGTAAGATTCTTCTACCCATGTATTATATTTTCCCAGTTGAACTTTTTTATTACTTTATTTGCTAATATTGTGTTTGGTTCTTTACTTTTAACTGTGATTATATACGAATAATTTACAGAAGATATCTGTGGGTATGCATATATTTCTGATTCTGGTCGAAATTTTTGTTTTTTTTTTTTATAGTTCTAATGTTATAAATAATATGGTTAGAATTGTGATGTTGATGAGGAGAATCTTAAGAATTAAAGGTAGAAATGATAAGTATACTGGCTGATTATCTTCTAGTTATGAAAGAAAGGGCTTTTAGAAAACAGGATTTGATAATCTAAGAACTGATTTGGAGATTTTTTTTAATCAAAATTGTGAGTCTTGAAGAGAATTTTTACTCTTTCTTCTTTTTCATTTTATTATTGGATTGATTATTGATAATCAGCTAGAGAGAGGATGCTTTTATGGGGCTTGATTAAATAACTAAATTCGACTGTTTTTGTATCAGATCCATGGAATACTGAACGCTGTTAGTTGGGGAATTATGTTTCCAATCGGAATCATAATCGCAAGGTATGTGAGAACTTTTGAGTCTGCAGATCCGGCCTGGTTTTATCTTCATGTTTTCTGCCAGTCTTCTGCCTACGTTATTGGGGTTACTGGATGGGGAACTGGTCTTAAGCTTGGAAGTGAATCAAAGGGTATTCGGTACACTGGTCATCGCAACATTGGGATTGCTCTATTCAGTCTTGCAACACTGCAGGTAATTTTATCTTTCATTGTTACTTTCAACCGCTTGATCTTCACTGCAAATATTATGGGGAAGGTTGTCCATCGTTCTGTAAATTTTTTTCCTTTTTTCTGTCTGGTGTATCTGTGGCTTTAGTTGTGTCCTTGGGTATATTATTTCATTTCATTTCTGTTGAAATTTAATTCCCAACTAAGTTTCGGGTTATTTTAGGATGAAGGACACCATTAAATTCTTGAAATTCATCAAAACAATTGAGGGCTGGCTAAAATTAAGATGCCGTCAACTTCATCAGAAGTGAAATCCTTTTCTACCAATCCCAGTCATGCATGCTAGTGGACCTCCTCTTGTGGCTGTACTAATATGTATATGGAAATACTTTTGTCTTCTTGGGTAACCCAAGTTGCCTTAGTAGACAGCTCTTTGACTGTGGCACTAACTTTGAATTTTGCTTTTGATGGCATTTCTTCGTTTGGCCTTTCATCCAGATTTTTGCATTGTTCCTGAGACCGAAGAAGGACCACAAGTATCGATATTACTGGAATATCTACCACCACGGTCTTGGATATACTGTCCTTGTGCTTGGCATCATCAATGTGTTCAAAGGTCTCAACATCTTGGATCCAGCAAAGAAGTGGAAATCTGCCTATGTAATTGTGATTTCTGCTTTGGGTCTCATTGCTCTATTACTGGAAGCTATTACTTGGGTTGTGGTTTTAAGGAAGAAGTCAAGTAAGTCCACTAAGCCCTATGATGGATATAATGGACAAGGAAGGCAACAGCCACTAGCCCCATGATCTTGGCATGAGTATTATCGGATATTCCCTTTCTGTAGCATCCTTTCCACTCACTTGTTTGAGATATCATGCGATTTTATATATCTGAGAGGCCACTTCTTTTCCTTGTATATTGGCTTCAGAGAGTTTGTTTATTGTATACCTAGCTTCTATTGAGTCTCTCTCTTTTTCTCTATATATATGGTTTCTATGTTCCCTTATGCCTCTACTGTCTTTTGGTTCTGTCTCACTCTGTTGTATAAGTGTTGCATTTGACTAGGTTTGAAGATGTAGTTCAATGTTGGCAGTTTAGCACCTTATGTTCTTTATGGTCTACGCATACACACTATAGCTATAGTTAATGAGAAAAAAAATCTATGGTTTCTTTTTTTTTCGTTGAGATTTAAAAAAATGGGATTTTTTTGGGTCAATTCTAAACCATCTTAACTCGTAAATTTTGACCCGATAGATCCGAATAATAAGCAACAAAATGCAAAGTTCATAAAGTTGTGTAGGTAACCAACCATACAACTGCCATGAGTAGTTGAAGTGAAGTAGCAAAGCTTGAAACCCTCCTTTATGCAGTTGTGTGATGATGACCACCTTCTACCCCTGACATCTCAACGTGATGCTAATAAGTTCTTTACTCTAGTTTCGTAACCTTATAATAATCTATTCCCAGTAAATTCTTGATTTATGCCAACGGTAAAGAGGGATGCGCACGCGGTGGCGCATAGCTAAACTCAAATGTGGTGTCTTTGACTGGATTATGAAATGAATTAGTTAAAGTATGTATAAATTAGTTTGAATACCCCTTACCGTTAAACTCAAAAAAGAACGTGTAAATTCTGAGGTGCGCGCCTCTCTGAGGTATTTTTTTTTTTTTGTGAGCACATTCAAGTCTTAGTTTACTACTTTTCTTCTTCTTTATTAATGGTCTTCTCTTTTTCTTTTTTGGTCTGCATATTTGGCCGATGGTGCTTGTCACTCTCTGGAGCTAGCACACAATTCTCTCACAATACACTCATTATAGGGTAGCTGATGGTGTTGCTATCCATATTTGACGTTTATTAGTGCATTTTGAACTCCCCATTATGGGAAATGGGGAATTCTCCACAGGGTAAAGCCTGCATAGACTCAAATTCTACACAAAAACTTTTCCAAGGGATCAGAAAGTGATGAACTTTTAAAGCCACGATTTTTAGAGTTATTGTCTCGAGATTTTAAAATCAATTGCTACAATAGAATTTCCATTTCCCAATACATGTGAGTTATAAGTGATCTGTTAAATTCAAAAAATTTGTGTCATAACGAGTTTAGAACACGCGTGGTTTGATGAATTGATGTTGTACATTTTACTCAAGTGAGTGTTAGGAAAGTCATTACCACTTTATCTGGAGTCTCTTTTGAGACATGCACCCCACTCTTGCGTTGCTTCCAACTGCTTTCCCTTTCATTATTCCTGCTTTTGCTGTTATTGTCCATCAAGCCTTTTGTTTATTGGATTCCTCTACGATGCCTTCATGTTTCTTCCTCATTACATGGGAGAAAATGACTCCCTTTTACAAGGTAGTTGTTGGATGGTCTTCTCAGTGAGTGGACACCTGTCATCTTATACCAAAGAAAAGGGGTGGGAAAATAATATGATCATGTTCCTAATTACATGGTCCATATTATTGTCCATTGGAAAACCAGACCTTTAATCTGTTTTTTTTTTTTTTTTGATTGAACGTAGACTTTTAATGACATACAATTATAGTTTTCTCTCTTTGATATAATAATAACCATTTTTCGGATTTTAATTTAGAATTTTCAATAAGAAATTTGAACTATGTTAATGAGATTTGCACTCAAACGTTCATGCTTATTATTTATTGGTTTTAGTTATATGTTTAGTAGTAATAGATATATATATCATTTCAAGTAAATTTATTTATATTTTATATATAATGAGTTTATTTAAATGAATGACAAATTGTATATATCGGAAAAGATCCAAATCCAACTATAGTCCCACGATTGCCACTCAATTAAGTAAGATACCGGTTAAATGTTACTATCAATTTGTGGTAGGTTTTAAATCCTCTTGTCGACATTCAAGTATTCTTACTTAATGGGTAAGTGAGAAATAAATCAAAATAAAAATAAGGAAGAAAACAAGAAGAAAATATTGGTGTAGTATTAAAACAATATTAGTTGTATCACTAGAGTGGGTAGGATATTCTTAGGAAGGTTGTGACTTGGTGTGGGGGCTCCAATGACATACGTCCATATGCATTATGCTTTTTTGTAAAGGAAATTGTGATTATGACCATGCACCCACAAACCTTTCTCTTCAGTGCAATGATTATATAGTTTTACATGTAAGCATGCAGTCACCGTGCTTGGAAGAACCAAAAAAAAAAAAAACGATCTAGTGCACGGAATTTTTTATTATTGTAAAATTTAAAGACACGTTAAATGTATATAATCTTAATAAAGTGTAAATTTACGTGTTTTTAACATTAAGAGTAGTTCAAATGATAATAAGAATGAACTATAAATTCAGACGTCTTGAATTCAAATTTTAGTAATTTCTTAGAGTCAGGTCATAAGAGATTTATCCTTCATAAATATTCTAGTCTCGGCGTGGATGATTTAATTATGAGCAAACTTGAGAGGATTAATTGAAGTGCGATAAATTGATCTGAATACTCTTGCTATTGAACAAAAAAAAAAAAAATACTACCTGTCTTGTTTTCTTTTGATCTCATACAATGAAGACTAAATAGTTGTAGATAATTACATGTAACTATATATCCAATATTTTTTGTTGTTTTTATAAATCAGTAATGTTATGTTAACCAATATTTCTTACCAATTTTTTCATCCTAAATGATGTGATACAATTTTTCTTATCAAATAATTGGGACAGTTTATGTTACCAAATGAGTTACCATATCGAAATTTACAACTATTTAAGATTAAATTACAATTTTTTTGAAGTGTAAATTACAATCTTTAAAGGTTACGATCGATTATAATAAATTGAGCCATGTTAGTAGTATGTGGTGGTACAATACCGCCTTCAGTACCATAGGCTTTCCCCACGTAAATAAGTCCCACTAACATTATTGTAATAAACTTGATAATCATAACATTATTGTTTATAAATATGTAGAGAGTGCAATTAAAGAGGAATGCTATTGACATCCAAAAAAAATAATCTAATTTATTAATATAATAATGCGTTAAAGTCTCGCCATTGAAAAAGATCAAGAGTTATAGTCACAAATGTTATTGAACCATGTTCATGTCGCATTATTAAATTAATTTTTCAAATCTCAATAGCATCAGTGACAATTAAAATGATAATTTGTTGTGGAAATTAATAATAATAATTGTTGATCCTCCCCAACTACCATTGATTTTGGGGGTAATATGGTCCCACAACGTAGCTTACATGTCTAAATCAGGGGTTTAAACTTTAAATAATATGGTACGTCATAATGACGTAACGATGACGAAATAAAAAATAAATGTGAGAAAAATTGGTATGTGATCTCATTATCATATCACTCATATCTCACATCGATCGGTCACAAAAAGTTGGGGCGGTCTCGTTCAGTGGACTACAGCAATTGGTCCAACCCCACCCAGACCACAACTGGGTCTCGTAAAACCAAATTTTTTTACGGCACATTTCATTTTCCACCCCGATAGATTTCAATTTTTTTATTTTGTACCCTAAAAAAATAATTTTTTTATATGATACCCTCAATTTATAAAAAATATCGAATATGCCCCTTCTATTTTAATTTTTGACAAAGAAAATAATAGAAGTTAGCAAATTGATAACATTTTAATATTTTTGATATATTGAGGATACAATATAAAAAATTTAATTTTTGAAAATACAATATAAAAAACTTAAAATCTTTGGTTAATTGTATTGGAGATCCCCAAAGTATGAGGTTTGTCTCATTTTTGTCCCCAATATTTTAATTGCATTATTTTAGTCCCTAAAGTATCGAATATGTTTTTATATGATCCCTCAAACAGACAGCGTCCAGAGTTCTAACGATTTTTTTATTATAAACTTATTATGTGATACTTAAATAGGGATAAAAAAATAATTTGGATAACTTTTGATCAAATTTTTACTTAAATTTTGGTAAATAACTACCCAAATTATATAATTTTAATCACGAACTTTCCAAATTTTGATAAAAAAAACTGTCCATATTACACAGTTTTTGTCAAGAACCACCCAAATTTTATTTAAGAGCTATTATAATTATTTTTATCCATATTTATGTATTACGTGACAAGTTTATAATAAAATATCGTTATCAATCTAGACGTTGTTTGTTTAAAAGATCATATAGAAACATATTTAATATTTTAAAGATCAAAATGATGCAATTAAAATATTAAAAATTAAAATGAGACAAACCTCATATTTTGAATACCTCTAATACAATTAACCCTAAAATCTTTCAAACTACAAAATACGAAAAGCCCAATTTTTTATGTCTTAGTCTTAATACTTGGACTTTGGTTGAACCACAATTGAAGATTGATCCAACTGGTGGCGTCACCAGTTCAACCACTGGCTCTGCCACTTGGGACTTATAGGCTGAGGTCGTGGTCATATACCTACTTTTGTTGAGAGAGGGTGTACTTATATATTGCCTAACAGTTATGGTGTCAACAGTAATGTTTTTTAGAACGAACCGTTGACAGCTAAAAGCCTATAACTTCTTTATTGCAAGAATCACAACTTATGTTGACAATAAATAAATAACATTATGCAAGCGGTCGTCAGATTTAAAATTATGCATGATGTCAGGCTTAATCGATTTAAGTTTTTTTGAGTTTGAGTATACTTAAATTCGGATTAATAGTAATTGATTGACTACGCTCGAGCAAAAGCTGAATGTGATTATAATTTTTTTTTATTTTTAGTCATATTTTGTCTCTCTCATTTGAAGTCTTGACCCCGTCATGAATATGATACACACCAATTATGATCCACTAGGAAAATTGGAAAAAGGCAAACACGTCTAAAGATTGCTCGTGGTCCCTATAATTCCCTGATGAACACGCAGAAGCAGAAGGAAGTTTAGATTTTTGTCGCCTATCAACTATATAGAAAGACTGTGTGGCATACATATCCAGGATGCCTTTCAAACTCACAGCAGTATGTTTGACACATTTTATTGCCAAACAACATTTTCTTTCTACTATCAAAATTTATATTGATTGATAAGGACGTAACATATGTATTTATCTAATTCTATCCGTCAATCACGTGTTGTTCTTCTTTGGTGGAGATTCTCCTTGTTTGCAAT